AAATCAGTTGAAACATTGTGGGTACCACAAAACAAAGGCGCCAGTTTTTACTGGCCGTATTTCTTTAACTTAATCATTTTTGTAGGCCTAGTCTATTTTGTGTGTGTGGTGTGTGTGTGTGTGGTGTGTGGTGTGTGTGTGTTGTGTGTGTGTGTGTGTGTGTGTGTGTGTGTGTGTGTGTGTTGTGTGTGTGTGTGTGTGTGAGTGTGGTGTGTGTGTGTGTGTGTGTGTGTGTGTGTGTGTGTGTGTCGGTTGTGGTCGCGGTTGTTGTGTGTGGTAGAGATCTACAAGGGGGGGGGAGGGGAATACACGGGTAAAGGGTGTCACCTAGGTGTGGACCGTGTGCGTTATGTACAAGTCACAGACAAGAAACATATAAATAACGTCAAAAAGGTCATCAGACTATGTTATTAATGTCAAACTTTCCCACAATTTAATTTAAACCAACTACTAATTACCAAAAACACAATTTACATTATCGTCAATTTTGTCCTGGCCAGTTTAACTGGCACTTGTGGTTCATTCCCGTAAGTAACAAAAATTTTTGTGTAAGCCACCATTTCTATTGTATTCATTCTATCATGAATAACTTAGGGTTAAACCCTTTACAAACAGAACGTCGTCGTATTTTTTCTAAATGGAATAGCGCGCTTGACGTTTATATTAAAAGGAGATTTTTTTTTGACATGTGATGATTCGGGTACAAACTGTCACCACCGTCGTCTCACACAAAGACGGCCATAACCCTGGTCTCTCTTCTTCTAGCTCGCTCGGCCTTTCCTGTCAGACTGTCTTCCTGCATCGACACGACACAAATCGAGTCTTTCTACGACTGGTTATAGAGATTGCACGACTCCGGACGCGAGTCTCCTTTCATTCATGTCATTACAACATCATACTTACAAGAATCCAGTTTCGAGCAGGTACTGTCAAAGCGGGAGATTTGGAGTTTACACTGAGTTTTGGTCTGACAGTAGGGGACAACGACTGGAAAACACTCCGGCTCGCTATCGAACAAACCGATTTGTGTCGAGTCGGACGTGTCTTTTGAGAAGTGATGTCGAGTCACTAAAATAGTCACAAGGAATTCAATGAAAGTGGGGATCAGCAATTTTGTATTTCAAATGTCTAATGTGAAGGATATCATAAAGCCTTAATGCAATAATGTAAAACAAAAAAGTTATGATTGATGAAAGTAGTAAATCGGTCAGATTTGACCCAAAGACAACAGGAGGGTTAAGCCCACAACGAGCACACGGGTATGGAGGACCGAATATGACATAAGTAAAAAATAAATTAATGCATAAATACAGAATAAATAGAGGAATAACCAAATTAAAGAATACATTAATGTAAGAAAAAACTGAAATAAATAAATGTGGGAATAAATAAAACACAAGAAAAAATATAAATATGGAAATAAATGTATTAATAAAAACATTTAAGGTGAGAATAAACAGAACACGCATTATATATCTTTATGTGTTGCTATTAAAGGTTCACGCACAAATGTAACAAGCATCACAATACACATTAGGATAAATCAACATAATAACTGCACAGCTGGGAATGAACACCACCTTCTGAGTCAATGACAACAGCTCTTCCTCTCAGCCATAGCCGACTGCCAAAAAAAATAAAAATAATATGATATATAAAACATAGTAAAATCTAACTTGGAAAAAAATATATATAGATATTTAATATGACAACAAATGTTTTCTAAAACAAAACAAAAAGTCATAAAATAAGAATTAAAAACATTATTTTTCAAAACATTTTTATATAAAACTTGAAAAAATATTTAATTAAAATAACATGAACATTTGGTTTTGTCAATGGGGACAATTATTTCTGTTTGCTGCTTTAAGAAAAAATAATACACATTTAAAATCAGTCCTTAAGCTATAGCTCAGTGGTTCATGCATGTAGAACATGCTAGATCTCTGTGAGGTGGGTTCGAACCCCCCCCCCCTTTAAGTTGTCTAAACTAAGGATATTGATACACATCCACCATGCCTGTCAATGATCCTGCACAATCTCTAAATTTGGGATACCTACAGTGTTCCTTAAAACAGCTGACAAACCTTAAACCAAAGTGTCTTTTAACCAGTGGCACATTTTTAGGTACTTGTACTTTTATTTGAGTATTTCCAATTTCTGCAACTTCACACTTACAGTACATTGTACTACAAGTACCACTCTTTAAACACTAAATTTATTTTTAAAGTTTTAATTTCTACTAACAAATTCAGATTTAGATTATTAATACAAAAGTATGCAGGAATACATCATGCTGTAATGTACAAATAAATGCATCACTTATTAAAATCAAATTGTATAATATTATATTCTGAAATGAACTATTCACCATGATGAGGAATTGTACTTTTGGTACCTTCAGTATACGGTAAACAACCTAGAGAAGAGTCCTCGTCTCGACTAACCTGCCGCACGTAGAAGTGGACTTCGTGTTTGTTATTTTCAATGTGGCTCGTGAACTAGAATTCTCTTTCGACATAAGAGTGTAGTTATCAGTGTAGTATTCGAGACTATTTTTTTTATACGAATAATCTTTTATGTTATGAGATTTCTAATCATAACTCAAATATTATAACGTTAGACTAGAACCTGCAAGAGAATTAGCGCGTACATTTAGGGTCCTCCACATTTTTTCTTCAACTTAAGGTGTTTAAGGGACGCGTAGTTATACACGGCCAGTCGTATTTGACGTAGTTTTTGCGAACTGAAGTGAAACTAACTCCACTTAAGGCGAGAAAATAACTCACATGACTTTCGACGCGTCGTTTGAGAGTACGTACGTCTGTCCTCTCGACGTTCGGTAATTCCGAAATGGTCGGAATTTGCAATTGTATATGTAGTAGTACGCTATTGACCATGTTTACGACAAAGGAATTGTAAATAATAGAATAAGTCACCGTGTTAGATTAGATGACCAACAAAAATCACGGGGACGACATAAGAATACCAAAACGACCACTTAATGAGAGTATGAGATACGGGGACAGTATCGACAAAATATTTCATTATGTTCGAATGCTTTGTGTAATACACATGTTTGACAGAACGACGAATCCGGTTGTGTGTATTTCACGGCAGGTCACCAGAAGTGATAACGTGAAGAGTAACTTATCATTCAGATTACGCCTGTCACCTTTCATAAAAGACCTTGTTTAGAGTACGACTTAATACACTTTAAGTTGTTAGGGAATAAGGGCTCCGCGTTTTAATGTTACACTCCTATTACCTGGGTCAGTTTCCGTAGGGTTTTATCAAATCGAGTATTATTTACTACCCAGACGAGACCGCAGTATCCGTTAATTGTGAGCAGGAAAGAGGTGGCCGAAAACGTTGGGAAATAGACAATTCAGAGCGCAGTAGGGTTTTTACCGGATGTGGTAAAAAAAACGCTAATTTATACCTTTATTTACATAATTATTTTTGTAAATTCCACTCTTATTTGTCTTGTGCGTAATATATAGAAATACACAACGATAATTTCCAAGTGCGTGTTTACATTGTTCGTAGTGTTATGTGTAATCCTATTTAGTTGTATTATTGACGTGTCGACCCTTACTTGTGGTGGAAGACTCAGTTACTGTTGTCGAGAAGGAGAGTCGGTATCGGCTGACGGTTTTTTTTATTTTTATTATACTATATATTTTGTATCATTTTAGATTGAACCTTTTTTTATATATATCTATAAATTATACTGTTGTTTACAAAAGATTTTGTTTTGTTTTTCAGTATTTTATTCTTAATTTTTGTAATAAAAAGTTTTGTAAAAATATATTTTGAACTTTTTTATAAATTAATTTTATTGTACTTGTAAACCAAAACAGTTACCCCTGTTAATAAAGACAAACGACGAAATTCTTTTTTATTATGTGTAAATTTTAGTCAGGAATTCGATATCGAGTCACCAAGTACGTACATCTTGTACGATCTAGAGACACTCCACCCAAGCTTGGGGGGGGGGGAAATTCAACAGATTTGATTCCTATAACTATGTGTAGGTGGTACGGACAGTTACTAGGACGTGTTAGAGATTTAAACCCTATGGATGTCACAAGGAATTTTGTCGACTGTTTGGAATTTGGTTTCACAGAAAATTGGTCACCGTGTAAAAATCCATGAACATGAAAATACAACTCATAAAGGTTAAAGACGTTGAAGTGTGAATGTCATGTAACATGATGTTCATGGTGAGAAATTTGTGATTTAAATAAAAATTTCAAAATTAAAGATGATTGTTTAAGTCTAAATCTAATAATTATGTTTTCATACGTCCTTATGTAGTACGACATTACATGTTTATTTACGTAGTGAATAATTTTAGTTTAACATATTATAATATAAGACTTTACTTGATAAGTGGTACTACTCCTTAACATGAAAACCATGGAAGTCATATCGTACTTCAATGTTCTATTTTCCGTGAGAATTGTTGTGGCTTGTGAAAAACACAGACACACCATACTAGATGATTGTTTAAGTACTCAGTCTAATAACTTTTGGTTTCTATCAATGTCCTTATTGTGAGTACGTTGATCCTACTTTGACAGGTCACCAGTCACCGTTCCTATCTGACTAAGTTACAGACGTCCTGATTACTCCTTTCACTTCCACGCGGGACCTTTTAGATCTCTAATCTTTTTGTTCTTACGTTCCTTAGAACAGTCACTACCTCTCTTACTGTTAAGTGTATCGCCTATTATCCCTTGAAGCCATACACCAACATATTCATATGTCTATTAAGTTTCATAATATGACATATTAAAAAATGCAAGTAATTATAATTCGTAAGTTACAGTGAAGTACACTGTACAAAGGTTTGTGTACGATGAGTAGAGTTACGCTATAGCCTCACGTCTTACAAGTGCAAATTTAACGTGACAGAACAGACGTACTTAATAAATTTACTTATTGCTTTTTAATGCATGTTATGTTATGAAATCTTTCTAATAAACATTTGCCTATTTT